GGAAGGCCCATGAATGAAACTCCCCGCTGAGCTTGCCTCTGCCCTTCCTTCTCCCGAGACCTCCCCGGGCTGGGAGGGAGTCACGGAGAAGAGGACAGGGTGCCAGGAAGGTGGGGTGTAAACAAACATGCCCTGGACGTGACCTCGGAGGATTTTAATGAATAGCTGAAATGACTCATCAACCAGCAGGGCTGAAGCTGAGGGATATCGGGTGCTGGGGATGGTAACTAATGGAAACATTAATTAAGAGTTCAGCTCTTGCCAGCTGCAAGGAGTATATGAACCTGAGAGCTGACACTGTGACAGCGATCCAGGGGCAGAGGATTGCTCCTAGAGCTCCGGCACAGCTGGATTACACATGACGGCCTGGGATTTTTGATGAAAGCTTACTGTAGCGTAAAGCAAGCCGTACAGAGCCAGAGAACTGGCTGGATGGGTTTTGTCATTCAGTGAAAGATCCGGCATCTCCGGCATTCCCTGTTCCAGGAATCCTTGGGAGTGGTGCTTGAATTAACCTGCATTGAATTAACCCCTCTCGAAGGGCAGAGCAGACAGAGGAGCCTTGTTCAGAGTTGCTTGGTGAACTTCAGCTGACGTCCTAGAGTTTTCATCACTAGAAGGATTATGAGACTTTGAGGAGAGGGCTCAAACCCACCTTCTGCCTGGGTAGAAAGAGTGTGAAAGTGATGGGTCAGTGGTTGTCACTTGGCAAGAAGCACCGTATACCCTGCCGCATTGTGCACTGTGGAGTATCAGCCTTTGATGCTAGATAGTTTGGTCAACGCTACGCAGTGCCCCAGTGGTGGCACCGTGTGTAGAAGAGAATGTGGTTAAGAACAAAGACGTGAGGAGAATGAACATGGCATCTCAGCTTTAGATTACTGTGTATGGTTCTTCTAGGAAGTCTGGCCCAGTATCCTTGAAATACTGAGCTCCTTGTACTTTTTGGCCACGTTTCATCTGTCTCTTTCTTGAAAGGACTCTTTGCTCTCTGTTTTTTTGAGGCTGATGTTCTGGGAGGTTCTGGGTTGCACCTGTAGGGTGCAAAGCTGCTCACACCACGTTTCTGTTCTTGCAGCGGGTTCAGGCTCGATGCAGGGCCCTCAGACACCTCAGTCCACCAGCAGCTCCATGGCAGAAGGAGGAGACTTGAAGCCACCGACTCCAGCATCTACGCCACACAGTCAGATGCCCCCTTTGCCAGGCATCAGGTAGGAAACCGTTGCACCCTCTTCCACTATGCTGGATGCAAGTTGTGAACGTGAGGTTGCTTCTGGGTCATTTACTGCAGATGGCTGGAGACCTGAGTACCTGTTTTGGTGGGGCTCCACAGCTTTTCTCCTTTGTTAATGGCTCACAGCAGCATTAACTCTGCATCTATGTGTGAATAACGATTACTTTTGGGATTGGATCTGAGGACAGTATTGTAGGAGGGCAGTTCTTCCTGCCTCTGTTGGAGGAGCATGACTGTGGTCCTTCTAGGGGATAGCAACACCTGAGGGGGAAGATCTGGGGAAAAGTATCCTGAGAAGCATTGTGGACCTCTATAATCCTGTGTTTGTGGGGTTTTTTTTGAATCAGGAGTAACTCCGTGGGCCTTCAGGATGCTTTTGCAGATGGTAGTGATCCTGCGTTCCAGAAACGGAACTCCATGACTCCAAATCCAGGGTACCAGCCCAGCATGAATACCTCCGACATGATGGGTCGCATGTCTTATGAGCCAAATAAAGATCCTTACAGCAGTATGAGGAAAGGTGAGGAAGTCCTTGTGTGCTCCTCTCCCTTTTCTCCTTGAGTACTAATCCCTGTATCTGGCTGTACGCTGGAATGTGCTGTAGGAGACCTGCTGCTTGCCCTTCTTCCCCAGAAGACTGGCTGTATCTTTCTAAGGCAGAGGTAGACGTATTTATTGGTCCTCCTCTCAATATTTCAGCTCCAGGAAGCGATCCCTTCATGTCCTCAGGGCAGGGCCCCAACAGTGGTATGGGTGACCCTTACAATCGTGCTGCAGGTCCAGGGATGGGTAACATGGCCATGGGACAGCGGCAACACTACTCCTACGGAGGTCCTTACGACCGAGTGAGGTGAGTACTTGAACCTGGTGAGATCTCGCTTGACTCTTGTGAAATGATTACTTTCTCTTCACTGCTGTGACTTTGCTGATCATCCTTTTCGATTTGAGGAGCAAGGGTGAATTTAAGTGGACGTGTGGGGTTTTTCCTCTTTGTTTCCCTGTAGGACGGAGCCCGGCATGGGACCTGAGGGCAACTTAGCAACCGGGACTCCGCAGCCCAACATCATGCCTTCCACCCCTGAATCGGGGATGTACTCTCCCAGCCGCTACCCACAGCAGCAGCAACAGCAGCAGCAAAGGTCTGGGGTGGGGGGGATGCCACAAACAGCTCTTCCCAGTTAGAGAGCTCTGGGACTGTGATAGTGAAACATGCGCCTGATCAGACAAGTAATCCATCTGTTTCTTCTCCAGACATGATTCCTATGGCAATCAATTTTCCACTCAAGGCACGTCCTCGGGCAGCCCCTTCCCCAGCCAGCAAACTACCATGTATCAACAGCAACAGCAGGTAAATTATCAGAAAGTTTCTGATTTGTTCGACTTGAGAGACAGAAGAGCTTTATCTGTGAAATTTGTGAAGAGGCGGATGAAAACTCTTTGGGCTGTGTGTTTGCTTTATGAATGTATAGAATTAAGTACCTTATACAGGAGGCTTTTTTTTTCCTAGTTTCCAAGTAGTTTAAGTAAGTTTTAATGAGTGTTTCCAGTGCTGTGTTAGCGAAACAGTGTTCTGAGAATGAAGGTTGTGTAGTTTGCAGACATATACGTGCTCTGGTCAGGCAGCGGGAGATCAGGAAACTTCATTGGGCTTCTCTGCCCCTCTGGAACTTTCTGAATCCCATCATGTTTCTGTAACACCTCTGGTCCAAGTGGTCAGATGAGTTTGTATGGAGTAACTCCTTTATTGCTCTGGGGAGCTGTTTCAGAGGATCAGTCTGCACAACCTAGGGCCTTTTTTCTGTCTTTGTCTTACTGAGCCTGCAGACAAAGGCTTCAGACTTGCTCCACTCCTCCATTGCCCCACTGCCCTCCTACTCACTGTTCTCAAAAACATCAGGTTTGTTTCAGGACAGAGTTTGAATGAACATATATCTCTTCCCCTAATCCTTATATATAACTTGCTCTTTGTATCAGTGCCAGGACCCATAATGTTTTCCTGATAATTTTGAATCCTCTGGTTTAGGAGAGTACAGAGAGGGCACTCGCTGAGCTGTGCTAAGAATAATTCCAACTGCTCTGCAGTTTGGCTCTGCAACCAGAGCCACGGGGCTCCGAGCCAAGAGTTCGAGTTACTCTGGTACTTGTCATCTTTGAAGCCCTAGAGCTCCATCTGAAGCCGGTCATGACCGTGGAGCTTCTGAGTAGACTGTAGAGCAGCTAGAGCATAGACCCTTGGAGGCAAGAGAGATCTTGGATTTTAATTTTGTCTCGGCAATTGGCTGTTTTCTCCATTTGCACTTAAAAGAAGGAGGGGGGAGAATAGTTCTTGCTCCTTTCAGTGATGTGTTTTGAAGTGTACAGGAAAGGAAGAAGCAGTGATGTGTTTTGAAACGTACAGGAGAGGAAGAAGCAGGAAGTAAAACAGTTTTTAATGCATCTTGTTTGATGCTTCGGCAGAAACCTCTGTTTTCTGGGAAATTCAAGAGAAATAGGGTCTGATAAAATTCCTGGATGTGAAAGGAAACAAGTACCTGTGCAGAGTTTGGTTTGTGGTGAACGTATAGCAGAGCTGAGTCTTTCCTACAGGAAAGCCCTTTCTGTGGGCAGACTTGTGCCCCCAGGGCATCCTTGTAGAATGCACAAGGAAACTGCCCAGCCAGCCGCAAGGAATTGGTCTTGGCTTGTGAAATGGAAAAACTGATCCAGCTTCACGTTGGATATGGCTAACAACCAGACAGGTCTTGCTCTCTTACAGGCCATGCCATGGGGCATATCCTCTGGCTCTTGAGTAGCTCTACCCACTCTAGTTTGGGTTGCTTGTTTCTAAGTAGATAATCTCATATTGTTGATGCTTTTATTTTCCCCGTAGAATTACAAGCGACCGATGGATGGCAGCTATGGCCTGCCTGCTAAGCGGCACGAAGGGGAGATGTACAACGTACCATACAGCACAGGGCAGGGGCAGACGCAGCAGCAGCTGCCTCCAGCACAGACCCAGCCACCAAAGCCAGCAGCAAACTGCGCAGCCGTCTCCACAGCAGGACCTGTATAACCAGTATGGGAGTACATACCCTGCTGCTGACCGCCGATCTGCCGGAGGGCCGCAGAACCAGTTCCCATTCCAATTTGGCAGAGACAGGGTCTCGGCTCCCCCAGGCTCCAATGCTCAGCAAAACATGCCTCCTCAGATGATGGGTGGTCCCATACAGTCTGCTCCAGAGGGCCCGCAGCAAGGTGCCATGTGGCAAGGGCGCAACGAAATAGGGTACAGCTATCCGAATCGGCAGAGCACTGGCTCTGCGCCCCAGGGGCCTGCTTATCATGGAGTGACTCGAACAGATGAAATTCTGCATTCAGACCAGAGGGTCAACCATGAGGGACCGTGGCCTTCCCACGGGAACCGGCAACCTCCTTATGGTCCCTCTGCCCCCGTGCCCCCCATGACTAGGCCCCCCCAGTCTAACTACCAGACCGCCCCTAGCATGCAGAATCACATTCCTCAGGTATCCAGCCCAGCACCTCTGCCCAGACCTCTGGAGAATCGCACTTCTCCTAGTAAATCTCCATTCCTGCACTCGGGGATGAAAATGCAGAAGGCAGGACCACCAGTCCCTGCCTCGCATATAACACCAGCAGCTGTACAGCCTCCCATGATCCGACGAGACATCACCTTCCCTCCAGGATCAGTAGAAGCAACGCAACCTGTGTTGAAACAAAGGAGACGGCTGACAGCAAAAGATATTGGTAAGAGGAAACTCCTGCTTTTCTGCTTGTGCCTGTCGAGGGGGTGGGTGCTGCCGTTACCCTTTGGTACGGTACTGCCGAGTGGAAGGGCTCTGCTGGCTTGGAAAGAATTGTACTTTTGTAGGTTAGTTGTGTTTTCAGACCTCATTTTGGCATTGTTTGTGGAGAGATTGCTGATACGTACAGTCTGTACATCATCTTAAACAGGCTCTGCTCTTCATGGGTCCAAAAAGCAGCATCAAGTATCTCCTTTTTGCTTTTTGAACTCCAGGAGCTGGAAGTATTATGTGTTTATGTTACAGGAACTCCTGAAGCCTGGAGAGTGATGATGTCTCTGAAGTCCGGGCTGCTAGCTGAAAGTACGTGGGCCTTAGATACCATAAACATCCTGCTCTATGATGACAACAGCATAATGACCTTCAACCTCAGCCAGGTGGGTGCAGATGCTCTCTGATGCAGGTCTTTGAAGTGCTAATTTTGTAGGGTTTTCTGTCAGCGAGGTAGCAACAAGCAGCTCATGCCCTTGTAGGGCCGGACTCCCGGACATCCCTGTACCGGCAGAGCACGCCAGGTCGGAAGAGAGTGTGGGGTCTGGGTAGCTCTGTGCTGCTTACTCGCTGGCCCGTGTAGTTTATACGTTTGTTGGTGTGCAAGCGTGTGTGTTCTCCTCTCTGGTGAGAGATGTATTGCCTCTGGAACACAGGAGGTGAATAACGGTGGGGAGGCCATAACAGACTTTGCAGTGAGAGTGCTATGAAAGGCTAACGGCTGCTTGTGGTTTTGGGTGTTGATGGTGTTCGTTCACCTCTGGCTCTGTCTTTCCCCGGGATGGTGCGCAGTGGGGCTGGGATTCCAATCCGGAGGGCCAGCCTTTCTCAGTTAGCTGCCACTTGCCTCCGTGGCTGTCGTAAAAACTGCTCGGCAATACTGTAAAGGCTGTTTTGCTTAGCGCTGCCCTTCACCTCCCTGTGCATTAACCAGCGGGGGGATACAACCAAGAGCACGCGTGTGTTCGCACAGGTACGTGTGTGTGGAGGGAGGGCGGCTCGGATACTGAGAGTCAGTATCTGGTTTTGTCTTTGTTCCTTTTCTCAGAGGACGGAAAGCTCTCTTTTGCAAACAGGTTATTGCCAGCATGCAAAGAACCCGTTAATTAACAGCACTGCTGAAATTCTTAGCCCTTTATGCCCTGCTTTCCCAGTTGCTCGTTGGCCTAAGTTGTTTTCTGATCACTATTCCCTTCCTTCCTCCCCCTCCTGTTTTTCTCCTCCCTTGTAGCTGCCAGGCTTGCTGGAACTCTTGGTGGAGTATTTCCGGCGCTGCCTGATCGAGATCTTTGGAATCCTGAAGGAATACGAGGTGGGAGACCCAGGGCAAAGAACACTATTAGATCCCGAAAGGTTCTGCAAATCTTCAGCTTCCTCTCCTGAAGAAGGGGAGGAGGATGATGAACCACGGAGCCCGAACTGTGAGGAGGAAGAAGAGGATGAGGAAGAGGAGGAGGCTGCCTTTTCGAGCAAGGACAAAGTACCTCTAGAGAGCAGCGAGGAAAAACTAGTTAGTAAATTTGACAAGCTTCCAATCAAGGTCGTGCAGAAAAATGACCCGTTTGTGGTAGATTATTCAGACAAGTTGGGGCGAGTGCAGGAGTTCGAGAGCGGACTGCTGCACTGGCGGATTGGTGGCGGAGATACCACCGAGCACATTCAGACCCACTTTGAGAGCAAGACGGAGCTACCTGTGACTCATAAACGAGCTTCCTGCAACTCCGTCTTGAGGAAACGTTCAGCAGCTGAGAGCAATCCGAGCACTAGGGAAGGAGAGACTCTTCCATCCGACAGCTCCTCGGAGAAGAGGATAACCGCCACCATGGATGACATGCTTTCAGCACGTCCGGGCTCCCTGGCAGGGGAGGAGGAAGAGGTCAAAGCTTTGGAAACGGCGAAGGAAAGCAGCAAGTTTCCCTTTGGCATTAGTCCAGCTCAGAGCCACAGAAATATAAAAATTCTGGAGGACGAACCTCACAGTAAAGACGAGACGCCCCTCTGCACCCTCCTAGACTGGCAGGACTCTCTGGCGAAGCGCTGCATCTGTGTCTCTAACATCATCAGGAGTTTATCGTTTGTGCCGGGCAATGACTTTGAGATGTCTAAACATCCCGGGCTGCTGCTGATTCTAGGGAAACTGATTCTCTTACACCACAAGCATCCAGAACGCAAACAGGCACCCCTGACCTATGAGAAAGAGGAGGAGCAGGACCAAGGGGTGAGCTGCAACAAGGTGGAGTGGTGGTGGGACTGCTTGGAGATGCTGCGTGAAAATACACTGGTCACGTTGGCCAACATTTCTGGCCAGCTGGACCTCTCCCCTTACCCGGAAAGCATCTGTTTGCCTATCCTGGATGGACTCCTCCACTGGGCAGTGTGTCCATCAGCGGAGGCCCAGGATCCCTTTCCAACACTGGGGCCCAATGCGGTCCTCTCCCCTCAGAGACTGGTTTTGGAAACACTCAGCAAACTCAGCATCCAGGACAACAATGTGGATTTGATTCTTGCAACTCCCCCCTTCAGTCGCTTGGAGAAGCTGTACAGCACCATGGTGCGGTTCCTTAGTGACAGAAAGAACCCGGTGTGTCGAGAGATGGCTGTGGTACTACTGGCCAACTTGGCACAGGGGGACAGCCTGGCAGCAAGAGCGATTGCTGTGCAGAAGGGCAGCATTGGCAACTTGCTGGGCTTCTTGGAGGACAGCCTGGCCGCCACGCAGTTCCAGCAGAGCCAGGCCGGCTTGATGCACATGCAGAACCCACCCTTTGAATCGACGAGCGTGGACATGATGCGCCGAGCTGCTCGGGCGCTGCTCGCCCTGGCCAAGGTGGACGAGAACCACTCGGAGTTCACGTTATACGAGTCGCGGCTGTTGGACATCTCCGTGTCGCCTTTGATGAACTCTTTGGTTTCACAAGTTATTTGTGATGTACTGTTTTTAATTGGCCAGTCATGACAGCTGTGGGATCCGAGACCCTGTGTGCGTGTGCGTGAGTGGAGAACTTAGAAACTGACTGTTGCCCTTTATTTATGCAAAACCACCTCAGAATCCACTGTCTGCCCTGCGCTGTCCTGCTTCTCCCTTGGGGAAAGATGTCCCCATTCCCTCTCCCCTTCCCCTGCCCTTCAAATTTGTCCTTGAATCCCTTATTAAAGGAGACAAAAGTTCTGTCTACATAGAAGACTTTTTTTATTTTAACCAAAGTTACTGTCGTTTACAGTGAGTTTGGGGAAAACGACTTGCCGTGTTATCACATTGACAGGCACCACTTTCATAACTGTTTTTAATGGTAAACTCTGAAGGACAAAAGTGACTGCTGAACTCTGTGTGGTTTATCGTTGTACATTCACAATCTTGCAGGAACCAAGAAGTTGCCAGTTGTGAACAGACCTTGTCCAAGGGAGGCCTGTGCAGTAGCGTGTAGGACTTCATGTACTGTACACCTTAAACTGTAAACATACTGTAATAATGTCTCACATGGAAAAAAGAAAAAAAAAAAAACGCTGGATCAGCAGCAAGCTGTAGTTTTTAAAAATGTTTTTAGTTAATGTTGAGGAGAAAAAAAGGCTTTTCCCCCAAAGTATCATGTGTGAACCTACAACACCCTGACCTCTTTCTCTCTTCCTCCTTGATTGTATGAATAACCCTGAGATCACCTCTTAGAACTGGTTTTAACCTTTAGCTGCAGCCTGAATGCTGCCACGTGTGTATATATATATGACGTTGTACATTGCACATACCCTAAGATTCCTTGCAGTTTTGTCCCCCTCTCCCTACCCCTTTATAGTATGACGAGTTAACGAGTTGATGACCTGCAAAAGCGAGACACAATTATTTAATCTCTTGCCAGACATCCCTCCCTGGAGGATGCTGTACAGGTCTCTGTGTATAAAGTCATTGCTGTCTCAGCAGCCAATCAACTTATAGTTTATTTTTCCTGTTTTTGTTTTCTTTCTAATCGAGGTGTGAAAAAGTTCTAGGTTCAGTTGAAGTTCCTGATGAAGAAACACAATTGAGATTTTTCAGTGATGAATTCTGCATATTTGTATTTCAGACGATGTAGCTAAAAACTTGATGTAAATTCCTCCCTTTTTTCCTTTTTTGGCTTAATGAATATCATTTATTCAGTATGAAATCTTTATACTATATGTTCCACGTGTTAAGAATAAATGTACATTAAATCTTGGTAAGATGTTTGTAAGGATTTTTTTATTAGCAGAACGGGGAGGTAACTTCAGTGCTGTCAGGTCTTGTAGGCGTGATGTTGTAGGTCAGCTCCTTCTTACCACGCAGCACAGAGACCTTCGAAGGTCCTGCGCGGTACGGCAGTGTCTGGGGATGACAAAAGTCACGATTTTCTCTGGAGTCCCCAATGCTGCGTGGTCTGGCTTTGCTTCAGCAATGGAATTTTTGTTTAGTGCTGCTTAGGCTCGGGTAGGAGTGGATTTGCGGTGTGAGGTGCAGCTGTGGCAGAGACGCTTGGTTCACAGGGTAAAAAAGGCTGTTGGTCGGAAAGGAGGCAGTTCCCTTTCCGCTCTGTAAAATGGAAAATTCTCATTCCCCCCGCATTTTTCACATTTTCTTGGAACCGTGGTGTGGATTCTCACGTCCTTCGGAGGACGGGGTTTTCCAGCAGACAGAGCTCTGATGCCCTTCAGCAAATGGCCAAAGTTCAGGCTCTTCATATGAAAATCTACACGTTTTCATGGGTTAGTAAACAGGTATTTTATTTAGCCTGAAGCTTTATCCTCAAATGATATGGGAAGCAGGCTAGCTAGAACTGCACCGAGCTCATTTAAGCAAAAGAGCTAATAAAAGGAAAAGGAGACGCTTTTTTAAAGGCAAACATCATTTTTGTTCAAAAAAACCCACCTCGTTTTATCCTGCTAGTCCTCTTGTAGGAAGCTCTCCGTTCCCAGAGCCCTCCTCCCTCAGCTGTATTCCTTAAACTTCAGATTTCTGGGAGTAACTGTGTGAGAATCAAACTGACTCTTTTCTGAAAAGTCTGTTTTATCAGCAGGAAAAAAAATGCAGGAGCTCTTTGCCTGGCAGAAGGAGAGTCCTTAAAACGGATTTCTTAGGAGACAGGAATGGTGCTGGGCTTCCTTGGCTTTAAAAATATACTGAATGTAAACCAAGTTGTGAGATAAGAATTCTGCTGGACTTTGCTGTTCCGCGACAGTGTTGTTGATTTAAAACTGACTTCTCTTTGTTTAATCTGATTAATTTAATGTAAAAATTCCACTTCTTTTTCTAAACAGAAAGGACCTCAGCAGCAAGGTTGAGGAAAGTAACGTGAACAGCTTTTGTACAGTGCCGTGTTCACGTTATGGTGAATTTAATCATAAGCGAATGCTACGTTTGGGAGGGAAAGAATAGTCACAAGTGGTACTAACTACCCATTTTACCAGTGTTTATACAACCAGTTGATCTGAGGGGAGTAATTCCGCTCCCCCAGCGCTTGCACGCACGCAGACGCGTACACCTCTCGCACTTCTAAACTGGTTAAAAGAAAAATAGCATAGATGAGACATTAGTAAAATGAGAACAAGCAGTGTTCACAGTTTGTAATTAGGGACTATTTTGAGAGCCACACCTGATCTCAAACTCGACTTGGCTGCCCAGAATGCAAATCCTTGATGCTTCTGACCTGCTTTGTACCCAAAGTTTTCTATTTCTGCAGGCATTCCTTAAAACGCCTCTCTCTGACCCTGACCGCTCCGCCGTTCCCCGTTTTTGCCAGCTAAGGATAAAACTTCGAGCCCTTCCCAAGCCTGAGCCCTGATTAAAGCACTTGGGGAGTCTCCCTTAAAGACTCAGTTGGCAACGATGATTTCTCTTTCATTCCTGCAACAGATACGGTCAGGCCGATAGCACAGCGTGTTGGTTTTAAGCACAAAGACTTGCTGCTCTTTGCCAGAGCAAGACCCGATGGGGTGCTGCCACGCGCTTGCGGTGTGGTTAAAGCGTAGCGTGAGCTTGGTTAGGGTGAAAGTAAAATACGATGCTTCCATCATCATGTGGACAAGATCTTGAGGGAAACCTGCCCACCCTCTTGTAATAGTAAGTAATTAAGGTAATAACATACACTTATTACCAGGCTATTGTTACGTGATCTTGCTTAATGTGTTTTGGCAAGAGGCTTGTTTAAGCAGTGCCCTTGCTGCAGCCGCGGCGCGGCTTCGTTGGAGGTTTG